GAAAAAGAAAGAAGAAAAATGGAAGAAACGATTATCCCACAAGCGCGCGTACCGAATCACACATTCCGTTCGATCCTTTTTTTTTTTCTTCTCTTTCTCTCTCTCCCCCCCCCAAGGAAATCGGCGATCAGAAGAGGCTAGAGAAACACAACACTTTTCCAAGTCGCACAATCACGTTTATCGAAACGAAATTACATTTATCCGGGGACATTGGCGTAACGACTTAACGGGACAAAGTTTTTCAACGGGAGGGAAAAACGGCAAACTAATTTTCCACAAGGTTTACGTTTACTTCGAACCGCATGTCGTCCGCGAGTGGCAGGAATACAACGCGATCACGATCGTGTGCACGGTGAACGATCATGGTAGGGGTCCCCGTGTTCTCTGATTGGCGCAAGTTTTCAGCTATGCTTATTCACGTGCATGCAAGACCTGGGCACGTAAGTACGCATTGCGTCACGTTTCGAGTCTCGTCGAGGACTATGTATCTCGGTAGGTCATTGTCACGATCGTCCTCCTCTTCGTGCCTGACCACACGGCTTTTCTCGCGGCGAGCACCACCACGCCGGGTTACGGCCACGCCACAGCCTACCAAAACAACCCGCTATCTTCTTCCTCTCCACCAACTTGAAACTAAAACGCCGCGTCTCGTTAAAACGTTTCCTTCTTCTTTCTTTTCTCTTTTTCTTCTCTGCGAAATCTCGCGGATTTCGATCCGAGCGACAGACGTTCACCGCATTAACCGATATTATCTCGGTTGGATGGTACGCGCGGCTCTTATGTGTGTCAGTAGGTTCGAAGAAATACGATGGAAGTTGGAAAATATAGTGCAACCTCGATCACCGAAATAACTATTTCTCTTTCTACCCGCGTCTCTCCTTTCTCGCGCGCATACTCGTGCGTGCGTATACCTACGCGTGTGTGAATTAGGAGAGAGAAAAAAAAAAGAGTAAGAAAAAAAAAAAAAACAAACAAAACGCTTAATTGCGTAAATCGATCGAGAAAGAAATTGATTAAACGATGATCCCCCGAATCGACACTTGTTCGAGATAATAGGAAGAAAGGTATCTCGAGATCGGATCGGTGAAATTTAGAACGCACAATTCATCTCGATGTTAATACGAATTGCGATCGCAATTGTGATTAATCGTCGTGATAGCGAGTTTAAACACCGGTATTTTATCATTTATAATTTCTAAATTCATCTTACGCGAATATTTAAATCATCTGCGTATCTTTCTCGCGTATCGATATCTTTCGTAAATCAACGGATCGTAAATCATAACGTTATGATTGATTTTTAATGATAATGATTATTTATATCGATAGAATTTTTCCTCTTTCTTTTTGTTTTTATAAAAAAATAAATTCTATGCTTATATTGCTATCTATTTTTCTTTCCTTACATTTCATAATTATTTATGATTATTTAATTCCTGTTTGTTTCGAATCATAAATCCAATTAACATAAGATTATACATCTTATATTTTTTTCTACCTTTTTTTTTTTTTTTTACTTCTAAAATGAATAAAGATATAAGAATGTAAATAATTATTTCTATAATAATAATATGTCACTTCGTATCGCGCGATAAGCTTGTAAAATCGCGTTTACATATTACATAGTTGCACAGTTAACATATTTGAAAAATTTATATGCAAGTATATAGGATAAACTGGTTAGACTGCAAATGTTATTTAACGAAAACTGGTTACAGATGATGGATAAACTATTTTCTAATTAAACCATCTGGAATGTCATATCTAAATCAGAAATGGTATCTAATCTGTATACCCTTTCTTCCCACATACATACTCGTGTATATACCTGTGTATATGGAAATTTTTCGAAATCGAAAAAATCGAAATTCTTTCTCCGATGGATATCGAAGTCATCGATAGTTTCTCGAATGCCAAATTTTTACGCGAATCGTAAAATTTTCTATATAATGAAATTTGTTCGAGAACACGTCGGCGTATCGATCGGCGTTATATATCGGCGTTCAATAATTCTTTAATATTATATTTATAAAGTTATAAATATAATATTATTTGAACGATATCACAACATATTTGACATATCATAAATCGGATTTGTTATCTTAAATTTATCGCTGGACAAATGTATTTATGCTATTTGCGATCATTTTTTAAACAAACTAAACTAAAACAAACAATATAATTTCTCAATGATATTTAAGAGCAATGATTTTTATCCGAAAAATAATTTTCGCTTAAAATATAATCAAAACTAATGTGTGTGTGTGTGTGTGTGTGTGTGTGTGAGAGAGAGAGAGAGGAGAGGAGATAAAAATGAAAAACAAGAATGGAAAGTAATGTTAATGGATTAATAGATTGTTAATAGAAAATTGTTTAAAGTGTAACGATAAAAAAATTTTGTCAACAATGAAATGTTATGTAAATAAATATTAATTTGATTTCACAATCAGAAATATATAACTTTCTTTTAGTTTTTAATTTGAACGTAAAAATAAATACAATGAATATCGATATGTAATGCAAGTAGCAATTTACTAAAATGATGACTATTAATCAAATTATCGTAGAAAAAAAGATCGATATACGTAAAAGTTGATTGAATTTTCATCTTTTTTCATCTTTGTATCTTTATTCATTTTAACAATTATTTGCACATAGCGATTTTAAATCTCTTGAATCCTAGGAAGAAATTGTGAAATCTTAACAACGTTATTATCAACATTAACCATCTTCGTTCAATGTACGTTCAATGTACGTTACATCATTATAATAAATATGCCGATATATAGAAAAAAGAAATATATTATATATGCATGGTGGATGCGATTTAATTTTCAAATATACGATAGATAGCAATGAAGTGATAAAACAATCTACCAGATTGCAAATACTTATTATGCTCCATACTTAATGAATAATATAAATACTCAAGATTTAAGCATCTCTTTATAACGGTCTCTTTACAGTTTCAGTCTGGAATCTATCTATGATAATTCGATACAAAATTTTCTAAAAATTTTGAAAAATATGGACTTTCATTCCATAAATAAGAGAATTATTCTCATTTTATCCGGTTTACTTATTAACGCGTAAATTTTAAGACAAAAGTAGAAGAATATGGACAAGTTATCTGTTAGATATTAATTCAATTAGGAGCCGATTAATTATTGGAAACTCTCTTACTTAACAAAATAAATAAAAACGCGCAATTTATTGCAGTTATATTTACGTTCTAATTGATTTCAAAACAGTAAGTTGAAAAAGTAAATCGAAAAAAAGAAAAAAAAGTAATTCGAAATAGATATAAAATATACGTAAGTACTTATATTTTTTTATGGCAAGTCCCAATCAATAAATGAGAGGTAGTTGTTTTTTTAAAGAAAATATACGATTACATATAGGAAAAAATATATAATTATTACACGTGATTAACTTTATAAAAAAAAAATTTAGATGGATACAAATTTAATGTAAAAAAATGTTGATGATGTTGGTAATAAAAACGATGTAATTAGAAAACGATATAAATATGATTATACGTTCTTTCTTGGAAGAAACTTCTCTAGAAATTACGTTATATTATAACACGCGATGATTAATTACAGCGCAACAAATACAAACTCTTGATAATATTTTACTCGTAAGAATATATTTACACATATTTATAATTAAACGACGATAATTTAAACAGAGGCAAATCAAACGAAGGTAATTTAGATGGAACTGTGATACAAACTGTGACGATTAACCGTCATCTTGTTTCTTTCTGCTTGAGCCAACTATTTGTAACGATATAACGAAAACGATATAAAAATACGAATATATCTTCTTTTCTTTTCTTTCTGTTTTCTCGAACAGAGAAAAGGATAAGATAAAAAGGGGTAAAATCGAGGTCGTACGTACCTGGAAGGAACGATGGTGAGGATGATGGGGATGATGAAATTGCGGTGTGTGAATCATGTCGCCGGTCTCGGGATCCTCGCACCTCGACGACTTCGCGACCTCGACGCTGCTCGAGCTGCTTATAATCGGCGACTCGTCGTCCTTTGCACTCCTCGATTCTTCGATGCTATCTTTTTCCTTCTTCTTCACTTCCGGTTTCGTTTCCTACATATATATATATATACATATAATGTCACATTTTCGTTTTAACGATCAGAAACTTAATCGTTCGGTTTCGAGATGATTCGCGATTCAATTCTAGAAGAGTCTAGATTCAATAATTTTTCAATATACAGAGAACTAGTTGAAATTTAAGACGATTGAAATTTTGAAACGTAATAATGTCTAGCTGTAAATTCACTTTTAACCAAAGCCTAAAACTATTAGCCCATACCTCGTTCTATCGAACCGGTTAAATGACCGGTTTTTAAATAAAAATTATATATATATATATGTATATATTTCTTTTTTTTTTTTTTTCGATTGAACGAAGGTAACAGTCGATTCAATATATATATGGTAACGATAATAAACGAAATTGATTTTTTCGAATAAGGAAAAAACTATACCTACATACGTATATATTTTAATCGTAAAGAAGAACGGGAAGCGGTCACGCAATAATATTATATCTTCGATTTCTCTTCATTCGATCCATTTGTGATCAATTTCTCGTACATATATCGTCAAAGATGCGATGCGACCAATGCTATTTTGCAGAACATGTCTGAAAATGTTACAATTACGCTTCTGTTTCGATAAAAGTCAACATTCCAATTCCTAGCAAGGATTTGATTAATTTTTTTTTTTTTTAAATCAAGAATAATTAATATCATTCCGTCCATTTTCAAAGAGATAAGATTCGGTGTTTCCTCGAGAGGTTGGAGAGTTATTGAAATTATCCTATCCCATTCCATTCTTCTCAAAGTTACATATAATTATTCCGATGTTTGCGTTTCTACTAATTTTCTTTTTTTTTTTTTTTGTTAAGAGAGAACATGATTCTCTTAACAAAGAGGAAAGAGAAAAATAGAAATGAAAGTAGCGGATAGGAAGGAATGAAATGTGGGTAAATAAAGATCGGGACAAACCTCTGATTGCGCCTCATCGAGGCCAACGAGTTGGAGTGCCTCCTCGAGATTGAATCCGTCGGGAAGATCCAAACTATCGTTGTTGAGAAGACTTTCGACGTTTGCGCTTGCTAAGAGACTACCTCCGAGTAAGTCCGAAGGAAGATCATTCTCGAGTTCTAAAGTGTCGGTTAATCCCAAAGAATCATCGGTTAATCCAGCCAACGGGTGATTGTCTAAATCTAGCGACGCTTCTCTAAGCAGCCGATCCTCCTCCTCTTCGATCGCGTTGTTTCCGTTTTCCTCTTGATTTCCAGAGTTGAGAATATATTCGCCTGAAACACAAACCCGCGTCCAATTCGAGTTACACCGTCGTTTTCTTCTTCGTTTTTTTCTTCAAGAAGAAAGACAAAGAGTACGCGCTTCAAACGTATTCTCGTTCGATGTTGAGAGAGAGAGAGAGAGAGAGAGAGAGAGAGAGAGAGAGAGAGAGAGAGAGAGAGAGAGAGAGAGAGAGAGAGAGAGAGAGAGAGAGAGAGAGAGAGAGAGAGAGAGAGAGAG